GGTAATGAGTCCCATTGTTAAGAAATTACCTGGAAGAATATGCCAGAGACTGCTAGCTGAAAACTAAAAATCCATTGTTTCCTATTCTTCCTGGACCTGTCACTGGTCTGTCTCTGGCCCTCTCATATTTAGATGGGGTTATGTGACTGAGTTCTAACTAATGAAGTGAACAGAGATAATATGTACCACTTGAGGGCTAGCCCATAAAAACCTCTTGTGAGAGCTCCTCCAAGTTTCCTTCTCCTGTCAGGCTGGAATGGAAACAGCCTTTAGGGTAAACTATGGAAGACTTTAAAGGTAGTAAAACTTCAGGGTGCCTGGGTGGCTTAGAGGGTTAAGCCTCTGCCTTTGGCCTGGATCATGATCTCAGGGTCCTGGGATCGAGTCCTACATCGGGCTCTCTGCTTCTCCCCTGAGCCTGCTTCTTCCTCTCCCTACCTACTTGTGATATCTCTGTCGAATAAATAAATAAAATCTTTAAAAAAAAAAAAAAAAGGCAGTAAAACCTTCTTAAACCTCGTATGCCTGCATGGAAGCATCTTCACCCATTCCATTCAGTGACATGACCAAAAACTAAACTTCTGTTGTATTTGAATCACTATGCATTTTGTGGTCTACTTGCTCATAGCAGTTAGATGAGCCCTATTTTTTTTTCCAAGCTTTAACAATTCATTTTTTTCTTCTTCTTTTTTTTTTTTTTATTAGTTTCAGGAGTAGAATTTAGCAATTCATTAGTTGCATATAACACCCAGTGCTCCTTATATCAAGTGTCCTCCCTCCTTAATGCCCATCCCTTCTCCCCACCCAACTCCCCTCCAGCAATCCTGTTTGTTTCCTAGAGTTCAGCGTCTCTTACGATTTGCTTCTGTTCTCATCTTAATTTTATTTTTCCTTCCCTTCCCCTGTGCTTATCTGTTTTGTTTCTTAAATTCCACATATCCGTGAAATCATATGATTTGTCTTTCTCTGACATATTTCGCTTAACATAATACCTTCTAGTTCTATCCATATTGTTGCAAATGGCAAAATTTCATTCTTTTTGATGGCTGAGCAATATTTCATTGTGTCTGCATGTACATATAGATGTATCTGCATATATATATTTGTGTGTGTTTGTGTATGAACACACACACATCTTTAGCCAATCATGTTGGTGGACATCTGGGCTCTTTCAATAGTTTAGCTATTGTGTACATTGCTGCTATAAACATTGGGGTGCAGCTGTCCCTTCAAATCACTGTTTGTATCCTTTGGATAAATACTTTATAGTGCAAATGCTGGGTTGTATGGTTACTCTATTTTTAACTTTTTGAGGAACCTCCATACTGTTCTCCAGAGTGGCTGCACCAGTTTGCATTCCTACCAACAGTGTAAGAGGGTTCCTCTTTTTCCACATCCTTGCCAACATTTGTTGTTTCCCAAGTTGATAATTTTAGCCATTTTGACAGGTGTGAGGTGGTTTCTCATAGTGGTTTTGATTTGTATTTCCCTGATGCCATGTGATGTTGAGCTTTTTTTTTTCATGTGTCTTTTGGTCCATTTGTATGTCTTTGGAGAAATGGCTATTCGTTTCTTCTGCCCATTTCTTCACTGGATTTTTTTTTTTGTTCTTTAGGTGTTGAGTTTGATAGGTTCTTTATAGATTTTGGACACTAGCCCTTTACCTGATAAGACATTTGCAAATACCTTCTCCCATCCTGTAGGTTGCCTGTTAGTTTTGTTGACTGTTTCCTCTGCTGTGCAAAAGCTTTTTATCTTGATGAAGTCCCAAAAGTTCATTTTTGCCTTGGTTTCTCCTGACTTTGGAGACAAGTCTAGCAAGAATTTGCTGCGGCTGAAGTCAAAGAGGTATTATCCTCTATGATTTTGATGGATTCCTGTCTCACATTTAGGTCTTTCATCCATTTTGAATTTATTTTTGTGTATGGTATTAGAAAGTGATCCAGTTTCATTCTTCTGCATGTGGCTGTCCAATTTTCCCAGCACCATTTACTGAAGAGACGGTCTTTTTTCCATTGGACATTCTTTCCTGCTTTGTCGAAGATTAGTTGACCAGAGAGTTGAGGGTCCATTGCTGGGCTTTCTATTCTGTTCTGTTGATCTGTGGATCTATGTTTGTGCCAGTACCATTCTTGATGATTACAGCTTAGTAATACTGCTTCAGGTCTGAAATTGTGATGCTTCCAGCTTTGGTTTTCTTTTTCAAAGTTACTTTGGCTATTCAGGATCTTTTCTGGTTCCATACAAATTTTAGGATTGTTTGCTCCAGCTCTTTGAAAAATGTTAATGGTATTTTGATGAACGTGGATGCAGAAATTCCCAAGAAGATACTAGTTAATAGGATCCAACAGTACATTAAAAAGATTATTCACCACGACCAAGTGGGATTTATTCCTGGGCTATGAGGGTGGTTCAGCATCCGCGAGTTAGGCAGTGTGATACACCACATTAATAAAAGCCCTAACTATTAGAAGGAGGATGCTAACCCATGCTCCGCTTTTTCTTTAGTGCTTCACCTTTTCATAATCTTGACAGGCCTTACAAGCAAGGGATAGCAGGGTAAAGATACAAGTATCTGCACATGTGGTCCATATATTTATAAGATAAAATTGAAGAGAATTAGATTTTGTCATTGGAGAATTTTTTGGTTGAGAAAAGTTGAATAATGAGAGTTAGGACTTATTAAGGTTTACTTAGATAATTTATGTATCTTTTGGTTTTTCATAGTTTGAGGCCAGGGTTTTAAAAAAGAGTATGAGGTATCTCTTGGTAATACCTTGCTTTACTTGGAATTTAGTGTCTAAAGTTTTTCTTTAACATTATAGTGTTAAAGAGATGATAATCAAGATATTCTTTTTTATTTATTAATGGGTTCTGACCCATTTCGTTATAAAAGTGGGGCTTTTTTGGGTGAGGGGGATATTTATTTATTTATAAAGATTTTATGTATTTATTTGACAGAGAGAGAGATCACAAGTAGACAGAAAGGCGGGCAGAGAAAGAGGGGAAAGCAGGCTCCCTGCTAAGCAGAGAGCCTGATGTGGGCTCGATCCCAGGATCCCAAGACCATGACCTGAGCTGAAGGCAGAGGCTTTAACCCACTGAGCCATCCAGGTGCCCCAAGGGGGATATTTAGACATGCTCCAACAATTGGAGGGCAAGACATTTTCTTCAAAATAAGCATGTCTGTGAAACTTCATATTACCTTCCTAAGGAGTATTAGGGAAACTAAAATATATACTTATCCTCTTATCTGGCAGCTTTTACCTAAAGTAACTGATAATATTGTATCATTAAATTGAGGAGAAGGGAGTCACTTTAAATTTATTTAAATTTAAATAAATATTGGGGGGTCCAATAATGTCCTTAATATCAAGTACAATATTGATCGGTCTCCTTATGTAGCAAAGTTTAGCACCTTTTACTTTCTAGAATATTTTGATTATGGAAATAATATACCATCAAACATAATGAAAATAATTATCACAAAACATGTGCACTTTACTCTCTAGAGAAGGAAGTACCCCCTTTTTTCTTTGGCAGTAAATTCAATTTTATGCATTATACTTAGTAATTTGATTTCCCCTGGGAAGCTTGAGTTCTTCTCTGGGTTATAGTTAATTCAAATCAGGAAATAAGCTGTGGACCACAAATTAGAAATACAGATTGGTAAGAAATAAACCTTACAGTAGAGCTTAAAAAGGTAAGAGCAAAGGACAAAGCAGCTATAGGAAAGAAAAAAAAACTAATTGTGTAAACAAGAGTGTGAAGAAATTAAGTGAATTGACAAGCTGAGTCGTATATTCTTAGATACCTTTTAGGAGTATGGAACCATTAAAACACATACAATAATGGATAATAAAAATTATCTTGAAACAACATAAAACAGTTATGTTCAGAATACTTTTCTGTAGACTGTGAAGTGCATTTTAGAGTTTCTTCAGAACTTGTTATAATCAAGTTTGAGTGGTTCCCAATGATCTGAAAATTTTATAAATCAGAAAGGCTTATTTCCTAACCAAATAGCTACAATTTCTTTAAAAAAATCAATTCTTTTTTGATTGCATAGAAAAAAGTACATGATTCTTGATTTCTGACTACCTAGTTATTTACCTTAAAATGCAGGGCCTTCAAATTGTTAACCTTGGAGTCGTTTGGGCTCCTATGTAGTTTTGATAGGAGCAGGCCACATTTTTAAAAATCAGATCTTTTAAGGAAGTTAAAAGCTATGTAATTACTAACAGATGAGTTTTTGCACTTTGATTTTTAAAAATAAAGTTTAGGGGTGTCTGAGTGGTTCATTCGGTTAAGCTTTTGCCTTTGGCTCAGGTCATGATCCCAGGGTCCAAGAATTGAGCCCCATGTTGGGCTCCCCACTTGGCAGGGAATCATGCTTCTCCCTTTCCCTTTGCCCCTCCTCCCATTTGTGTGTTCTCTCTCTGTCAAATAAATGAATAAAAACTTTTTTAAAAAGTTTAATCCAGTTGGTATCTTTCACAGAATTGATTTTAATACTTTAGCCATCCCCTCCCCCCTCTGAAAGCTATGTCTATATTCTTTGGAAGCTATCACTTGCTTTTCTAGAAAAGCGGTATTTCGGTACAGCAGAACCTGCCTTCTGCTTGGCTGATCAATTATTTACAGGTACTTTGCAGCAGGCTGATAACTGGTTGAAGCTGCTGAGCTTTTATTTCTTCAGTTTATAAGTGGAGTAAAACATTACAGTTCTATTAAAAGAGAAATACGTTTTATTAAAGTAGCTCTGCAGAGTTATTCCCCTTAGCACACAGAAGGCGCTCCTAAACAAAATTACCACAGTGCCTCACATGTGGTGGGTGTCCAAGAAATACTTGCTGAATGAATGAGCATTGAATTTAAAGTGTTTTTGTTGGCCTAGGAACTTACAGGCAGAGTATCTGCTACTGTATATTCAAAAGATTGCTAGCTGGAAGATGTTAACTGTTGTATACTGATTGTATTTATTTGTGCCCGGGACACAGGTGGCGATAAAAATAATCGATAAATCTCAGCTGGATGCAGTGAACCTTGAGAAAATCTACCGAGAAGTACAAATAATGAAAATGTTAGACCACCCTCACATCATCAAACTTTATCAGGTAGGATGTAAGCTTATTCCTCCCCATGCTTCTCACATCCTGTTTTCTCTTTTGCATCATCTTTCTCTTTTATGTTATTTTTTTAGTCCATAAAAAAGGAATAATTATGTAGTTTTTATTAAGCTGAGTACCCGTCTTCTATATTTAAGTAAAAAATTAGGAAATAAAAAACCGGTAGCTTCCTTTTAAGTTGTTTCTCAGACTGTAGGTTATTTAATTAAAAAGTTTGTAGTTATGTATTTATGATACTCAAACCTGTTGGCTTTTGGTGGTTGTACCATAAATGAGGATATGGCAATTTTGCTTATTTAAGAAAGTACACTGTTTATGTTTTATGAAATACAGTGTTAAAATAGTATATTACTTAGTGGCATACCTTGTAATACGTAGAGCCAAATCTTATATATTTTGTTCGGGTTAGTTTGTCAGATAAAGTAAAGGAGTATTTTTTTTAAGAAATCAACTTTATTGAGATAGCATTTTTGTAAAATAAATTGTACCCATTTCAAGTAGAAGCTATGTTTTTTAAAAGAAAAACCTTCTCTGGGGTGCCTGGGTAGCACAGTTGGTTAAATGTCTGACTCTTGTTCTCAGCTCAGGTCTCGATCTCGGGGGTTGTGTGATCCAGCTCCGTGGCTGGCTCTCTGCTCAGTGCAGAGTCTGTTTGGGGTTCTCTCTCCCTCTCCCTACATCCCTCCCCACTACCCACTCATGCTCTCTCTCTTTCTCTAAAATAAATAAATAAACCTTAAAAAAAAGAAGATCTCTGATTTTTGAAGAGTAATTCATATTGAGGAATGATAATGTAATAAACTTTTATTAACACTTCTATTCCTTAATATGTAGAATTTTTATATTAGAAAACTTTTTTTTAGAGGTGAAGAGGGTCAGGGCATGGGGCAGGACAGAGGGAGAGGGAGAGGGGGACTCTTAAGCAGGCTCCTTGCCCAGTACCAAGCCTGTAACAAGGCTTGCTCTCACAACCTTGAGATCATGACCTGAGCCAAAATCAAGAATGCAGCACTAACCAGCTGAGCCGCCGGGTGCCCCTGTGGAAAATCTGTTACAGCACGCTGGCATAGGACTTTGATCTCCGTAGTGTGATGCGGGCACACCTAGTGGTATGCTAGACTCTGTCTGTACTGGCTTGTAAGAACTGACTGTTAAATTTTCAGATGTTTTGCAAACCAACTAATACCATGTTAGTATCTCAAAATCAGCTATAGTGGGAGTATTTACACCACAGAAAACTGTTTACAGGTCAGGGCCTTCCATCCCCCCCCCCCCCCCACAGAGAGCTAATACTAGCACATTCCTCTGTGCACTCACATGGGTTAGCACAAGTGTCTCTTGGGCATAATAAGAAAATATTAACACTTCTTATGCTTATTTTTTATATTTATTTTGTGTGCATTCTGTAATGTATATAGTGTGTTTATACAGTGGCACAAGTATGTAATTTGTATCTCTGCTTATATTCATCTAAACATATGCACGCATGGGTGTATACATGTACATGCATGTGTGATACACATTTCACTAAACAACTTGTTACTGATAGAGATTTGTAATTAAAAAGGTGTAGAGACAATTGGAGACCATTACTATTACCATTAGAATGAGAGATCATGGTGTGCCTCTCAAAACAGTTCTAAAACAGCAGAAGGCTTCTTTGGTGGTATTTATATCAGAGTATTTCTCTTTTTAAGCCTTTTTTTTTTTTTTTTTTTTTTGGTTTGGTAATTCCTAAAGAGGATACTTGTAAGAAACTAATCCACATCCTTATAAGTCTGATGAACTACAAGCCAAACTAACATTAAAACTACCAGGATTCACAGAATTCCATCTTTTATTTGACCTAAATAAGCAGTTGAATTGATTTGCTGTTTATCTTATTTCGACTCCAGTTGTGAGTAGCTCTCTTTTTTTTTCCAGCCTGATTGGAAATAGTCCTAAACCTACATGATAGGGCAAAATCAATTTCCAGCCTTTTAGTAGATAATGGTTAAATTTTCCTTGTTATCACATGCCAGTACATAAAAAGATGGTGTTACAAAGAATCTAAAATTCACTCATTTGTACTTATAAATTCATTTCCTTTTGGTTCAGTATAATTTGAAATATCACATTTGTGACACTGACGTGCTTCCTTTCTGAACCTAGAAAACTGATTTGAATTAAACTGTATAGCAGTGGAGTTACAAAGAAGCTTTTGAACTGTTTTTAAAATAATTGTAGTTTGTAATAATATTACAGTATACAAGGAGGAATATCCTATTTTGCCAGGTGATCAGGGCTACAGGCCTAATAAACTGAGCTCTATTTTATTTATCTCTATTATTCTTAATCAAAGTCTACCTATAGCACAGGACTAGAAAAGTCCATGAGAAGGTGGTAGAGAGTTGATCTTCAAAACTCCCGTTACCTGTGTTCGTGTTTTTTAACTTGAATGTGCATAACAGTCACACTTTGGTTTAAAAATTTTTTGTTGAAATGGAAATTCTGTGTCAGTAGGTCTGAGGTGGGGCCCGAGATTCTCATTTCTAACAGTTGCCTGGCAGTGCTGCTGCTGGTCCATGGACCACACTTAAACAAGTGAGGACCAAGATTTCTCACAAAAGTGTTAGTAGAAGGGTATTGTCAGTCTTGTAAACTTAGCCACCTGCTGAATCATTCATAAATTTGGTATTTTTATTAGTAGTTTTATTTAGTAACTTCATAGAATTCGAATTGCAGTAGACTAGAATTGCAGTCCTTTCCTATCGGACTAATATGGAATTATTTATCAATAGGTAATGGAGACCAAAAATATGTTGTACCTTGTGACAGAATATGCCAAAAATGGAGAAATTTTTGGTAAGTATTTCTCTATTCTTTAAATTTGTTTTTAATTTGAAACTGTCACTAATCTTCATGAATGAAGTATTTCCTCTTGATTTTCCTGCTTGTTTAAGAGTTGGCAACATGAACTAGAAGTTTTTAAACATTAGAATATAATAAAATACTCAGTAAAACAAAGATAAGGAATATAATTTTCTTGTATTCATGATGTTGATGTGTTAAAGCTATTGCTTAATTCCCTCCTCTGTGTGAGAGAGATGGGAGAATTCCAGATGGAAGAAACTTGCAGTCATATTGCAAGGGGGGTTTTCTTTCCTTTTGCCTTTCCTTTTATCTTCATTTTTTACCTTTCCTTCCAGGGGAAATACAGTCAACAAATACTTACTGAGTTCGTGCTATGTCCCAGGCATTGCTGTAGGTTTAGGGGATGTAATGGTGACCTAAATAACCTGGTCCCTGCTGTTGTGGCTCATACAGTTCAGTAAGCTACTGACTATAGCTGTGTGGCCCCGGGCAAGTCACTGCAGCCCTGGGGGACTTGGTTTCTTTATCTCTAATAAGGAAAGGTTTTGATTAATTGGTTTCTGTGATCCATTCTAACCCTTACAAAAATTACAAATATTTTGTTCATCTCTTTTATTTTCATTCTTGTAGAGCCAGAAGAACACTGTAGGTAGTCTTAACCACTTTCCAGGTTTTTAACCTGAACATTTAAATCCAGAATGCGTTTTAAACCGTCTTAGTGAGGAATTATTCATATGCAGTAAATTGCACATATTTAATGTGTACAACTTAATACATTTTCACACACATAACGCACACACACATGAAAGAAACCATCGCCACCATCAAGATATCCATAATTTCCTCTTTTTATCTCTCTTGCCCCACCTCACCACCAAGCAACTACTGATTTGTTTTCTGAGTTTGTGTCTTGCAGAGTTTTATATAAATGTGGTCATACAATATATACTCTTTTTTGGGGGGGGAGGGTCCAGTATTTTTCAGTGTAAGTATTTTATGATTTATCCATTTTGTTGTATGTACCAGTATATCATTTCTTTTCACTGCTAAGTAGTTTTATTGTAAATGGCTTTCTATTGTATGAATATATCCAGTTTATCCATTCATGTGTTAATAGATATGTGGGTTGGTTTCTGTTTTTGGCTGTTACACATGAATTGCTCTGAACATTCATGTACTGGTCTTTAACTTATAGTCTACCTTCAAGTAATCGTTCACCACGTCACATATAGCATGAATCTTAAGACAATATACCATTACTTTGTACCTCCTGGCCTTTATGTTTTTGTTATACATTTTACTTATGTCTGTTTTATAAAATACAAAATACAGTATTGTTGCTTTTGTTTAAAAAGTTGATTATGGGGGCGCTTGCGTGGCTCAGTGGGTTAAAGCCTCTGCCTTCGGCTTGGGTCATGATCCCAGGGTCCTGGGATCGAGCCCCACATCGGGCTCTCTGCTCAGTGGGGAGCCTGCTTCCTCCTCTCTCTCTCCCTGCCTCTCTGCCTACTTGTAGATCTCTGTCTGTCAAATAAATAAATAAATCTTTAAAAAAAAGAAAAGTTGATTATGTTTTGCAGAGAGTTTTCAATATTTTTTAAAATCTTACATATTTATGAGCGGAATATCATTGCTGCATCCCTAAATGTAGATGCACAATTTCATTTTCATTTCTTTGTGTAGATACATACCTTCATCTGGTGTCATTTTTCTTCCATATGAAGGATTTTCTTTGGCATTTTTTGCAAATCAGGTCTGTTAGTGATGACATCTTTCCGCTTTTGTGTGTCTAAAAATCTTTGTTTTTGAAAGATATTTGTCCTGGGTATATAATTCTAACTTGGATTTTTTTTTTCTTTCAGTACTTTAAAGATGTTGCTCCATTCCGTATTTCTGAGAAGAAACCTGCTGTCATCTTTTTCTTTATTTCTCTGCATATAATGTGTCTTGATTCTCTGGCTGCTTTTATAGTTTTCTGTTTATTACTGGTTTCAACAATTTGGTTATGATCTGTCTTTGTGTGGTTTTCTTCATGATTCTGTTCTCTGGACTCCCTGGATCGGGGAACGTATAGCTTCCATCAAATCCAGAAAATTCTTAGCCATTATTTTCTTGATCAGTTTTCTATCCCACCCCCCTCATCTTCTTTAGAGACTCCAATTAGATGTATATTAGACTGTTTGAAATTGTTCTATGGCTCAGTGATTTTTTTTTTTTTCCATTTTAAAAAAGTTCCTTTGTCTCTCTGTATTTCATTTTGGATAGTTCCTATTTGTAGGTCTTCAAGTCCTAGCATCTTTTCTTCAATGTCTAATTTGCCATTAATCTCATCCAGTGTACTTCACGTCTCAGACATTGCAGTTTTCTGCTCTGTAAACTTAAGGCCTTTTTTTTTCTTTTTTATATCCAATATGTCTTTAGTTATCTTTTTAAAGATCTGGAATACAGTTTTAGTAACTTGAAATGTCCTAATTCTGATCACTCTGTCACTGCTGCATCAGTTTTGAACTGTTTGTGTTTCTCCCAAGTTTTGGTCAGGTTTTCCTGCTTCTTTACATGCCTACTTGTCTTTGAGTGGATGTCAGGCATTGTTAGTTTTACCTTACTGGTTGTACATACATTTGTATTCCTGTACCTCTTCTTGAGCTTTGATCTGGGACACAGTTAAGTTACTTGGAAACAGTTTGTATCATTTGAGTCTTTTATAATTGGAGCAGTGCCCAGTGTAGGTATCATTTCCCACTTCGGAGTACTCTACCCAATGCCCCGTGAATTTGGGGCTTTTTTAGCCTGGTCAGTAGGAACAGTCAGTGGTGTTTTTTCTAATCCTCGTAGATGGTTCCTTTTCTGGTCTCAGGTAGCTTTCTCACACACATGTGCCAGTCAGTACTCTCCTGGATGTTCAAGCGGGACCCTCACAGATCAAAGCTTTGTACTTCGTGTCCCTCTCTCTTCTTTGGTACACTGTTTTGCTACCTCTGTTCAGCTTGTTCTCCCTAGACTCTCAGCTCTATCTCCTCAACTCAGGGACGTCTGGTGGGCTCTGCCTATGTCTCTCTTCCCTAACCTGTGGCCTACACCCTCTCTCAAGGTATTAGTTGAGGGTACTCATGGGTCTCACTTCACTTATTTCCTGCCTCTCAGGGATCACTCTTCTTTTTTGCCTGATGTTCAGTGTACTGTAAACCAATGGCTCATATATTTTGTCTTTTATTTGTTGTGGAGGTGGTTTTGGGAGGGTAAATTCAATCCTTGTTACTCTATCTTGGTTGAAAACAGAAATCTCCAATCCTATCAAAATTATCTTTAATTTTAGCTGTTTTAAAAGAAAGAATTGAGGATGCCTAGGTGACTTAGTCCATTAAGCGTCTCCCTTCAGCGCAGGTCATGATTCTGGGGTCCTGGGGTCAAGTCCTGCATTAGGCTCCTTGCTCAGTGGGGAGCCTGCTGCTCTCCCTGCTTGTGTTCTCTCTCTCCCTCTCTCTGACAATTAAATAAAAATCCTTCTAAAAATTAACAAAAATAATCGTGTGTACTTCTGTAGCTTTGAGAATTGTATTATTTAAAGTTGAATTCTAAAATAGTTCTGATTTAATCATTTTCTAATTGTATTTCAGGAAAGATATCTTGCCTTTTTAACTTTTTTTTTCTTTTTTATGCTACTGCTTATTGAGCATATTTAAATTCTTAAGATGTTTGTTCAGAATATTTGTTCTTAACTGATGCTACAGTGGAATGGTATGGACTTTGATGCCAATCAAAGCTGGCTTACCATGCTGGCTGTACTGTACTGCTTGCATTACTTGGGCAAGTTTCTTCCTTTCCTTTTCCTTTCTCCTTTTTTCTGTCTTCTGTTCTTTTCCTTTTTCTCTTTCCTGTTCTTTCTTACATTTGCTCGTTCATTCAGTTTAGTCAGTTTTGCAAGAAATCTTTACTGAAAACGAGTTATGTATTACATACTCTTCTGTGTGGTAGAAATACCACAAAGAAGAAAACAGACAAAAATCCCTGTTATGAATTTTGCATTCTGGTGTGTGGAGAGAGACCATAAAGAAATTAAGTGAATTATATAGTACATAAGGTGTGGTAAGTGGTATGGAGCTAGAACAAGAAAGGGAGGAGTTGGGAGGTAGGTAAGTTTTTTACAGTGCAGTCAGGGAAGGCCACACAGACATTTGAGCAAAGACTGGAAAGCACAGTCAGATAGATATGAGAGAGAGAGGGTTGTCCTGGGAGAGGGAAAAGTAAATGCAAGGGTCCTGAAGCATCAGTCTGCTTGGTATGTTCAAGGAATAGCAGGGAGGCCAGCATGGACAAAGACAGGCAGGCAAGAGAGAAGAGCAAGAGTGTGCAGGGAAGAATGGGAGATGAGGTCAGAAAGGCAAATGGCAAGCAGGAGTGGGGCAGATTTGGGGATTTTGTAAGCCATCATAAGGACTTTGGCTCTTACCTTAAATAAAATAAGGGAACCATTTAGAGGGGGTTGAGGAAAGAAGTGATCGCATCTAATTTGACATTTTAAAAGCCCCACTCTGGCTGCTGTGTTGAGAATAGGTTGTAGTGAGTGGAAACAGACCAGTAAGACACTTGCAGTAGTCCTAGTGAGAGAGGATGATGGCTCAGCAGGGTAGGAGCAGTGCACATAGTGCTATGGTCAGACATATGTTGTGAAAGAAGAATCAGTAGAGGGCGCCTGGGTGGCTCAGTAGGTTAAGCATCCAACTCCTGATTTCTCCTGAGGTCTTGATCTCTGTCACGACATCAAGCCCCACATAGGGCTCCATGCTGGGCGTGGAGCCTGCTTAAGATTCTCTTTCTCCCTCTGTCCCCCAGCCCCCTTCTTCTGTTCACTCTCTCTTTAAAAAAGAGAGAGAAAGAAGAATCAGTAGGATTTCTTGATAGATGAAGACCACCTAAGGAGTGAGTGTGATTGGGGAAAAGACCAATGTCCTATCCCTAAGGCACTTAGACGTTAAAAGCTTGGGGAAATA